CAACTTCTAGATTTTGGGGCTTGCATAAATGGATTCCTGCTCTGAATCTTAGTTACCTTATCTGTTTAAGGAAGTTAATAAGACCCATGTTCAAGAGAGTTGTGAAGACTCAGTAGAAAGAGAAAGAAAACACCTGCCTGGCTCTTGCACCCTCCCTCCCTCTTCCTGGGACCTTTTCAAGCCTCACTAGCTTTAGGAGTGTAATAGGCCCTTAGAAGTCCTGGCAATGATCCTACACATCACAGGGGAGAGCATGAGCCCCTGAGAGGGAACAGGCCCAAGTAATGGCTTGTAGCATGAGAGCAGGTAGGCAGTGGGACAGGGGCCTGCTTTCTCCAAAGAGGAACGGGAGGAGCTGTAGGACAGGAAGTCAGAGGAGACACGTCCCCAATGCCCAGCTTCCGGTGTCAAGAGGAAGCTCAGGTTTTCAGTCATACTCCCCGCAAAAGCCTCCCATCGCTGCTGTAGTTACCAAGTCCCTCAAGGTCCCTGCCTACCCAGCCCATTCCCCTCTGTGGTCTGCCTGTGACCATCTGCCCAGGCAAAAGAGGGGTCATCTAGAATTGTCAGTCCTCTTTCCACTGGGGGCTGGGAGCCCTTGAGGGGTGGGATCGCTCATGGCTGGCCAAGCACAAGGCTAGGCATACAGCTGCATCAGAGAACCTGAAGAAAACCAGGGCAGCACTGGGCAGGCCAGGTCATCTTTGGCTGAGACCCATCCTCCCCCGTCCCCATGGGTCTCAGCACATGCACTGAGTTCAGAGGAGCTTAGAGCCAGGAAGAGTACCCAGGCATAGATGGAGTAACAGTCTAGGGGGAGGTCGGCCATGCCCACAGTCACACACACACAGCAAGAGGATGTCATAGCCATGACAGACTTCCCCAGCTGACCCTGCCTGAATGACTGACAGAACCCCTGGTTTTCCACTCCTCACACCACTAGGACAGCCATGCGAAGCCTCACTGGGAGCCCAGATTCAAGTTCCATACTGTCTTCTGCCTCGGGCCCCAGATCCAAGTTCAGTATCTGCCTTTGGGATAGGGCCTAACCTCTCAGGAAGTAGTTAGTGTCTGTCTCCTCTCCTGTGCCCAAGGCCCAATGCAGGCCTACAGCCGGGCCAGGCTGGGGGCCAGGAAAGAGGGCAGGAGAGGTAATCTCCAGCAGCCCCTTCTCTTTGTCCTGACTCTGAAACCTGGGCCCAGTGCCACAGTAGCTTCTAGGGATTCCTGACACAGGGGCAGGGGGAAGATAAACATGGGGGAAGGGAGATGAGCAGGAAATCAAGCAGGTATAGAGATAGGCCAGCCTCCTGCTCCTGAGATCATGAGCACAAGACATGTCCAATGGCAACTGGCTTGCTGGCTCAGGGCACAGGCCCAGAAGAGGCTAGGGCAAGAGACAGAAACTCAACAAACTTCTGTGGTTGAGTCCCTGCCTCCTGCAGCACCCAGTCATCTTTGGGGACTCTGGCTTCAGAGCAGCTCTAGGAGCTTAACAAGCCACTCCCCTTCCTGGGCCTCAGCTTTCTCATTTATCAAACAAGAAAGAGATGAAGAGAAGAGCGTGTCCTTTAAAGAGTTATTGATGGGGTTAAATGCCATAACGTTGACTAAGATGCGAAGCCAAGCAGAGAAGGGCAGGCGGTCTGGAGCCAGGCCGGCCTGGGTTCACTCTGCTCCACTACCGTGTGATCTCAGGCAGCTGACATCTCCTCTTCAGCCTCAGTTTCTCTGTTGTCTGCTGCAGACTCAGGGTAAATTAGCTGAAGGAAAGAAATACTTGGCTCAGAGCAGGGGCTCTTATCAGAAATGGGATTAGTGCTTTCACTTTTAAACCAAGAGAAGGCCAAGAAAGGCTCTCTTGGGTCATGTAGAATCCCAGCTCATCTGATCCCAGCCACCTCCACCAAAATGCAGAAGCTCAACCCAACAAGATCACAGTCCTGTTCCTAAGATGCACGGATGGGGAAGTCGGTGCCATGTCTGCCCTAGAGCCCAAGACTGGCACCAAGGGTCTTTCTCCAAAAAAAGTTGGCGATGACAACCCCGAGGCAACTAGTGATTGGAAGGGTCTAAGGATCACAGCGAAACTGACCATTCAGAACCAATGGGCTCGGACTGAGATGTCTGAGCCTCTTCTGCATCCTCAAAACCTTTAAGGAGCTGCCAAGAGAAAGAAGCAGAAAAGACTTAATATTATAGCGGAAATGCCAGTTTCGATGAGATTGTCAAACCTGCCCCAACAGAGGCAGCACTGATTTTTAGCTAGAGAACTCTCTGGGACCACTGAAAAGAGCCTGGGGACTGCTCACTCTGTGGGCTACGACATTGATGGTCGCCACACTTGCAACATCAAGGATGACATCAGCAGGGGTGTGGTGGGATGCCCAGCTAGTCAATAATGACAAAGGAAAATGTTTCAATAAAGGGCCATTTGACAGGGCCTCCCTGGTGGTGCAAGGGTTAAAGTCTCAGCACTATCAGGCACTGGCCAGCCACTGCAGCAAGGGCTGGAGTTCTGATCTCAGCCAGGGAGCTAACCAGCATGACCCATATGGCCCAGGAGATCTCTCCTGTCTCGCCTGCTGCTCCCCTTAGCAGTGTGTTTCAATAAATCTGCCTTTTCTGCTCCCCACTCTGTTTCTGATGGATCCTCTCACCCCTCACACCTCTGCCCTACACTCCAGTTCTTAGATGCATAAATAAATAAAAATAAATCTTAAAAAAAAAAGGATCATTTGACTAAAAGAAGAAAAAGAGGAAATGGGATTAGAAGCATGGAACTTCGGTATCCTGGAATTTCGGGGATGGGGAGTTCAGAGACTTCTGCCCATCTTCCAGAACTGCATCCCACTGTGCTGAGGTGGGTCAGGAATGGAGAGGCTGGCCCTCACGAAGCCCATAACCAAGGCCCCTCCTTCCTGGGTCCCTTCTCTGCTCACTTCCTGTCCCCAAATCTCCCTCCACTGTGGGGAGCAGAACTGAAGTGTAGCAATGGGGAGAAAAGTGGAACAGAGAAGGCTAGGCTGGAAGGCTGGAGATCTGTGTTCTAAATCTGACTCTGCTAGGAACTAGCGGTGTGACTCGGCCCTCTCTGAGTTTTGTGTCCTCACTTGCAACTCAGCGAAAGGGTGGCTGGGGGAGGGGAGGGAGGCATGAACAGATTGCAAGAGTCCTTTGGCAGCTCCAACCTTTGCTCAGTCTGAGAGGCAAGGGGAACTGAGAGGGTGGCTGCCAGGGAAGGTATATGCACTGGTCACAAGCCTGTAACACCCCAGTTTTTCCAAGCCACCTCCACTCTCAAAGAAGGCCACTTAAAAAGTCTGATCTGCTCACAAGGAGTTTGCTCTCTGAGTTTGACAGCTAGCTCTGCTACCTCGGTGGTTTGACCACCAGGCCCACCAACTCCAGTCCTGAACTGGGCTAGGTTTATTCATTAACCAAGCCAGATGGAGGAGACAGCTCTACCCTATTGACACAGAGGGTGGGTGTACTAGACTTTCCCCTTCCCTTCTGGACAGCTAGGCTCCCCTCACACGGTTAGCCGTAAACCTTTCCCAGGTCAGGGTCAGGAAAATAACCTAGCCCCACAACACCACTGTTCTCCTTGTATTCACTTTGTTCCCTTGTTCCTTCCTTCCATCTTTCATTTAACCAGCATCCCTGCCCTGTGTATTGGATGCTATGGACATAAAGAGGGAAGATCTGTCCCTGTCCTCAGAGGCACCAAGCTGGGACATTTCAACTCCCTGCCTTTCCCTGTTCTTCAGGCTCACACATGTCAGGCCCCAAGGAAACCCCCAACCTAGTACCTGGGCAGAATCCCAGAGCAGGAAGACACACATGGAAATGCAGAGAGAAAGGAACAGTCAGCCAGCCAGAGTATAGAAAGTCATAGAAGGAGGAAAGGGCGAGCCAGAAGGCCACACAGGGACAGATGGACAGAGCTGGAGGTAACTAAGACAAAGTGAGGCGGAAAAGCACAGAATCAGGGGGAAGGTCATGTATGTCTAGTGTCTGAGATGCCTGAGCTACTCCAAAAGCAGGTTCCAGGCAAGAGAGCTGGCAAGCGGGGAGGAAAGAGGCCCCTCTGAGTCCAGTGCCCTATTCCTCTCTCCAACACAAATACACTCCTCCACCCACTGGAGGAAGACAACAGAAAGGGAAAGGCAAGAAAAGGGAGAACTGCCCCCTTCAGAATGTGGCACTCGCAGCAATCCAGTGTGCCAGCTAGGGCTCCCAGCGTGGCCCCTAGACCAGAGTCTATACAACCTTTGCCCCACCTGGTACACCAGGGGAAAATGGTCATACAGAGTCCCCCCAAGCTTGTCCTATGATGGCAAAGGCGAATCACCAGGCTGTGAGGAGTGAGGATGGTGGCTGTGAGGGGGCTGATGTGTATGCATCTGCCCTGCTGTGCTGGTCTACCTCCTCCTCCAACCCACTGGCAGCCTGGCCCTGTGATATCCAAGCCCTGCCTTCAGATCCCTGCAGGAGACTCACAGAGCAGCCAGAGAGGGAAGGGAGAAGAACAGGGAATCAGGCAAGAAGGAATCAGATTCCTGCCGGCCTAGGTACAGAAAATGGGTAAAGAGTCCCAGTTCAGACTGAGAGAACCAGAAATCAAAAAACAGGATTTAGTGTCCCACCTGAGCTGCCTCAAGTGAGGAACCAGTGAAGGCTTCCAGAACAGAGGGGTTCCCTGAGGGAGATCACCCTCCTAAAGGAGTCTGGCAACAGCCCACCTCCCTGAAGTAGGCAGAAGCATGCAGAATCTTGGGTTCTGGCTGGGTGAGCCAGAGAAAGTCACACCCCCTCTCCAGCCCTCAGCTGGCCCATCTGTGTGATGGGGGCTTGCCCAGCAAGTTGTGCCTCCGCCTAGTTCCTGCAGGAGACTTTTTCCCAGCCAGGTATGGGGTGCTGGGGGAGGACTCTAAGACTCCCTATCAGACGCAGCTAGTGCCCAAAGTAGGCTTGCACCTGCCATAAGGCAACCTTACCTTGATCTTGTGCAGGGTGCGATCCATCTCCACAGCCTGCACCCACACAGACACTCCGGCCTTGCTGTAGGTCAGGTTCCAGCCCGCTTCGGCCTCACACTCTGACCGAAAGCTACGAAAGTCCTGGTCATCCGGCACCTGGACGCTCTCGCGGCCCAGGGCTGGCCGAGGCCCTTGGGGCTCTGGCGAGGCAGCTGACTTCTCCATGGGGAGACTCAAGGCCCAGGTCCCAGTCCGGTTCTCCTGGGTCCTCCGCGGAGGCTCCGACGACGTCGACGCCGCTGCAGATGCTGACGCCACCTTCCTGGGACCTGCAAGACCGGTTTGGAGACCGGAGTCAGTGCGCTGGGGGCGCGGGTGGGGCTGTCCGGGGTCGGGCGGGTGGAGAGTTCGAGATAAGCACGGTTTGGTCCCTGGTGAGGGCGGACCGACATAGGGCGGTCACGGGGCCACCTTCCACCGAGCGACCCCGATATCCCAGGGGCCCGGGTGGGGGCTGCGTGTTGGGTGAGGGGAGCCCGCGAGAGCCCGTCGGGACTCGGGGGCGACGGGACCCGAGGTGACTGACGGCCCCGTGAGGC